AAATATTCTTCACACAAAAAAGGCGAAAACATGACAGCTGACGCCTGTGGACGACCTTAATGAGGACAAGTTTGGCTGCAGGCCTTAAGTTACGCATCCGAAACGATTCTGTACATCTGACAAATGCGACTGCAATCGGTTTACAAAACTTACTTTGCGTTAGATCAGTGCCGCGACCTCCGCGTGGCCGACTGGTCGATAAAACATCAACATTTAAAGCAGTACTCACGTTTCAATACAGGACAGGAAAGCCCACGGATACAAAGTCTGCACATCGCAGCGACGAATCATAACGAACAACCATCGTTAAGCAATTAGATATTTGACTGAAATTTCATACGCGCCTCATAAACGAGAAAATTTTCTCCATCCCTAATTACTGAGTCAGCATATCTCCGAAACGTCTGTATAGACCTATACCCACATCGCCCTGACACCTCACATCGAACGCCGGTGGACTTACAGACGGCCCAATTACAATCTCATGTTCTGGGTTTCAGAGGAAGGGCGGGAGTTGTTGTTGTTGGAATTTAATCTGTTATCGATTCAGTGAAGCACGCAATATCGATCGTTCACCCACTTCTCCAAATACTTTCAATCCACAGCGTTTAATTTTTTAAACACCCTATTAGCCGCTGTGATTTCGTCCGTAATGAAAAATGCCTCTCTTTCAGAAGGAAAATCTCCAGACACATATCAACTACCACAACGACTTTAATCGATATATCGACTGGAATCGGCCGCACTATCGCAACAGAGCCGATTCTTTCCTGATTCACGTGTATGACGCCGTGTGGTGTTGTCAGTGGTTGCTTCTACCTGGAAGATGTAAGCGACACGTCCCACTCACCGTATTCTGATATACTATCCAAACTAAAGACAGAGATACAAAGTACTGGCACTGGGAAGCAATGTTTATTGTGTGGATAGTACACGCTTGGACAAAACCGCGCTGGGTACGAACCCAGTACATCTGCCTGCAGGGATGCGGTGGTTAATATAAAATTACAGGCAAGGCGACTTCGTGGCTTCCCGGTTCCACGTTTCCCGGAAGAGACTAATGGCATTCCATGCAGACAGAACTGCATTACTGGTTAAGTCAATATTAATTCGATTAGCAATTTGGAAAAAAGTCAATAGGACGTGAAGGTTCCTGGCGATAAAAATAAATGAATCGATTCATCGCTATGGCAACAATACGAGATCAACAAGTAGCAAAGAGGAAGGATTCTCTGTCTTCCTGCTCTAAGGTAAGTGCACACGATGGCGGAAGATCTTCGTCGTTCCAAGTCCGAGTTCCCCCGCCTACAAACCCGCGTCCTTGCTGTAATGCCACGTTTCCTGCAGATAAGTGCCACTGTCAGGACGAAGGTTAAATGACAAATTTTCGCACGGCCGCCATATTTTACTAGAAACAAGCGAAAGTTGTACATTTTTTGAAGATCTCTTATGGCCCTTATCTGACTTAAGACGAGTTCGCACGCCACCCGCGTTTCATTATAAGAAGTTTCAAAGACCAAGGATGGGGGAGGCATCTAATGCCCTAATGTTCATACTAACTTTTGTGCGAATCGGTCGAAGCGACGTGCCTGCCAGAGACGCTGGAGAGG